GATTTAGTGTTACTTAAAAAGATTTTTTTTTTTTTTTTAACAATTTTTGAACTTGAATCTTAGGGTTAGTTAAAAGGAATTTATATGGTTGAATGTACTATATAGACTGAAGTAAAATGTATATCCTTAAAATCAATTGGGAATGAATGAGTCTCGATGATGTTTATGCATGCTAGTTTAAAAATACTCTCTAAAATAAAAATAAAAATAAAAAAACTCAACGGTGAATAACGGCAAGGTATTTTCATTTAGCACACAAAACAATTTTTTTTTTTTAAGGACTAAAGAGAGCTACGTACTTTTTATATTGTTTGCTTAATGAGAAAGAAAAAAAGAAGAAGGGAGAATGATGAATGTAACAAAACAAATTTAGATTTAGCCCATGTCACGGCCAGCAGCACTATTAAATATATTATGATAGGGAAAAAAGACACAAATGACATCTCCCTTAACGTCCAAAAAGAACCTTTCTTTAGAATCCCTGCACTGTTTTTTTCGAAGAAGTTTATTAACCGACTCCTATTGACAATTAAATATCCTTGGAGATTTGCAGAGTAAGTAAATAAGTTTATTCCTCAGTTCATCATTAAGGGTTTGAAGAAAAAATAAATCTCTTCTGAATGCATTAATACTTCGAGCGTGTAAATGATGTATCCAAAACTTCATTGTAAAAGGACATAATCTGAAAGTCCTCTCATCCCTTATAGTTTTTCCAAAAAAAAAAAAAACAGTAACTTTTAGTGACTGCTTGATTTCATCATTGCTAGTTACCGTGCATTCTCTACTAGCTAGCTAGATAGCTATGATGTTCCTTCTTCATTTTGCATTTTTCTCCGGTCTCTAAGATCATTAATCCCACTAATTTAATTTCAACTAACACCTGGACTCCAACTTTTCTATAAAAATACACTTAATTTCCACAACATAATTAATGAGTTAGGTTCGGATTTATAATTTTGTTTGTCCATGGTAAACTCTAAAATTTTGTTGCTACCCAATAAAAGAAATCCTTGGTAGAATTTGAATAAAGTTTGCCCCTCATGAAGTAAGCTGGTTGGGGGAATTCATGAGCCATGAATGAAAGTGCGGTGCGGTCCCTTTCCCCAGTGGCGCCGGCCTTGGCTAAGGCAATGATGGTGCCTGCTCCATCTTGGAATCTAGTTTGGATCACTATCATAATTGTTTGATATGTTCAACCACATGTATCTTAAAATTATTCATCTCATTAACGAAGTACATCCTTGGTAGCCAATTCCTTTTTAATGTTTTTTTTAGTTTTTTAAAAGGAAATATTGATCTGTTTCGATCAAACACCAACAACAATTTTCATAAAGGTTTTAATCTCATCAATTTTAATCATAAATCATTTAAATATTATTCCTCTTGGATTTCTTTTAGGATGATGATCATGCATAGAACTTGTCGAAATCATGTCAAAAATTCACTAACTCTTTATCATGAACTGTAAAAATTTGAACCTAAACAATCAAATTGACTTTAAAAAAAAAAAAAAAAATTCATTCAAAGGTTTGGGATAACCATACTAGAGCCATTTTCTTTTCACTTCCTTCAATCTTAAGCATGTTCATGATCACACTTGACTAATGTTTTTTTTAGTCAATCTAAATCATTCAAAAGATTATTTGCGTAAATTTATCCACTATAAGTTATAACAAGCACTGTCAGTATAAATTTCCTACAATGAGGACTTAGAAGGGGGAAAAAAAAGGCAAGTCGATAGAAGGATGGAGCAGGAAGCAAACAAAGTCCCGGGTTGGCTAAATAAATAAGAATGGGTGGAAATCTAACTCATCAGAGATTTAGTGGGCCCTATTTGGAAATCTCCTCTCCAACAAGTCTCTATCTAAATAACCAAGGCCCAATCAGACGGCTGTCATTTTCTAATCAAGTTCACATTAATTTTGACTATAGCATGGAAATACAAGTAGCTTATGTAAAGATGTAGATTTGAATGCGACAAACTCGCCAGCTTGTGCTTGTTAATTAATTACTATTTGTTTTGGTTTTAATAATTAGGGTTTCTTTTTTTGCCAGCTTTGTGCAGCAATTTTTTTTTTTTTTTTTTTTTTGCCCCGTCGAGCTTCTAAAAAGACTATCACATCTATTTTTTGTATTAATTCAGAAAAAATATATTTATTTATAAACCATTTAAATTGGAATCGAAAATAATAATTTGAAAAATAAAAAACAAACAAACTAATTTGCAAATTGCATCAGCAAAAAAATAATAATAATAATAAACAAAAATTAAAAAATGAATTAATTGATCTAAATTGACAGAATGATTAAAGAAAGGTCAATGTTTGACCAAATTGAATTGAATTTATTGAGAGTGAAAAATTCAATTAAACAAAATTATTCTCATCCTGACTTACTAACGCTTGAAAAGAAAACAATGTCCTAAAACCGTTGGCTTAAACATGTACAATAGAATGAGAAAGTTTATAATATTCAAAGAGTATGTATAAATTATTTCATATATTCATTTTGTAAGAGAGAGATAAACACAAAAAGGACGTTAGATTAATTTTTTCTTTCCTATTTCTTTTTTTATATATATATTTATTTTTTTCTAAAAAGTTAATGCATGAAGTAACTACTATACAAGTAATTACTTTTTGAGTATTATAAAATTTTTTTCAATAAAATAACATGATTTGGAATTAAATTATATATTAGTCCCTTTATTTAAAAAATTAATTAGTCCTTATTATTTAAAAAATTAATTATTTAGTTTTTTAATCAATGTTAATAATGCTTAATTCAATATTATTAAAATGTCATATTTTTATTTATTTTTTTCTATTTATTAAAACAAAAAAATCAAAATAAATTAAAATGAGTAAAAATGATTAAGTTACAAGAAAATTAAAAATAATATAACGACTAAATAATTAAATTTTTTAAGACTAATTAATTTATTTCACAAAATTAGAGAAACTAATATATAATTTACTCCATATTTTGAGGTTTCACAAGTTTAAATCCTCTATTTTCTCACTTAATTAAGAATAGCAAAGCCCCTTTTATTTTTACCTCTGAACTTTTTCCCGTAAGTCTAATTCTCTTTATAGTAAGAAAAATGAAAGGGATTTAAAATCCAATTATGCAGTGCAACGTAGAACCAAATCGATCAAGAAACAAAATCTCACAAAAAATTACTAATTAAGCTAAAAACAAAAAAAAATCTCATATTGATCAAGGCATGTATCAATTACTTTTGACACAAATTATTTTTGTTTAATCTCATTAAATATGCCATATTTGCTATTTCATTATTTTTCTTAACATCTATCTATAATTCCTAATTTTCTTAATTTCTCAAAAAGATTTAGTACCGTACATATAGTTTTTAGAATGTGATCAAGAACATGTATATATTGCATAAAATTTATTTGCTTCTAATTGATCAATGCCTAACCAATTTTATTATTATTAATTATATTTGAAGCGGATATTACACATATTTCAATTTTGTTAAAAAAAAATAGCTCACAGATATCGATAAAAATCACGAAAAGGGCAAGGGAAAAGTAAGAAATATAAAAGGAAAAAAAACTGCAAAAAAGTCATTTCATCTGCATTTGCCTATTTCATATCAATAAAAGATTCTCGATAATTTTACTCTTCAGGGCTGTGTTTGTTTGGGAAAAACAAATTTTTAGAATTTGTTTTTCTTATTTTTCAGTATTTATTTCATATTTAGGAAAAAAATCAACGAGAAAATGATTTTCGATCAACGAAAAATGATAGAGTATTTTTGAAAAAATATTTTCCTAGTTTCAAAACAGAAAAACATTTTCTTTCTCACGAGTGGTATCACTCTCGCGTTATTGACCTCTCTCTTGATATATTTAACAATTTTTTTCTCTATCTTCTTTTTATTTAAAATATATTATATTAATTTTTAATTATTCTTTATCAATTATTATTAATTATTTAATTATTTTTTCTCTATTTTTACTAATATTTTATTTTTTGATATATAGATACATTAAATATTCTTAAAAAATCATTTTTACACCTTAAAATTATTTTTATAATAAATATTTCAATAATTTATCTCTGTTTTGTTTACTATTATCTCAAACACTACCTACACTATACTTAAATTATTGAAAATGATTATTACAAGGCTATAATTTTTTGTAAAAAATAAAAATAAAATTAATTACTTCATCAATAAATACATTATTTTTTCAACATTATTCATTTGCAATTAAATCGATAATTTGTAATTTTAATCAATTGTAAAATTTTGTTGGTAATTATAGTGAATAATTAGTTACAAATTATTCTAACATTAATCTTTTTAGACCAAATAAATAATTATCTATAAATGATAACTAATAAATTATAAAACTATTTTTTATACTAAATTATCAATTCAATTTCTAAAAAAAAAATTCTTAATTGAGTTACAAAAATAACAATACTAGGATTACTATAATTTTTTTTTTACTAATGTTAATATTGACTTGATTTTGTCTCAAGTAATTTTGATGAATTGGTTTGATGATTAAAAAAGTATATTTTATTTTTTGAATTAAAATTTTAGAGTTATTAGTTATGAAAATTTATTAAATTTTTTTAAATATATCTTATATTGTAAAATTATGAATATTTATGTTTGAAGTTTTCTCAAAACATGTTGATATAACAATAACATATGTTTTTGTATTTTAATTTTTTGTATCAAACAAATACTAAAATATATTTTTCAATAATTTTTTTATATAATTATTAAATAATAAAAAATATGTTTTTAAAAAATAATTTTCTATAAAATAACTTTTAATGAATTGATTTTTCTATAAAACTTGTTTTCACTCATTAGACACCGCTTTTGATACAACATGATGTTTGAATATTAACAGGTTAAGAAATTAGAATTAATTGTACGGCATATTATACTCGTTTTTTTAATGACGTGGAATGCACTATCCCATGCGGTCGACGTCAAGTGGGGAGCCAATCACATGACATCATCACAGAACGGTAGTCTATCAAGATTAGGAATTTCCAGATCAGACGGCTGTGATTGGATTCCTTACTTGGTTGGGCAGGATTTTGAAACGGAAATGGAAAAATTTGGCATGCGCAAGTGTGAGGGCCCACCCAATACCTCAAATGCCACCACCGCCCACTTCTTCTGTGGGGTCGACATCATGGGACGCGTGTCGCTAGCAAATGAAGTTTATGGTGATTTAGATTTTACTTTTGGTGGACCCTCATCATCTAAGATACCCCACATCTGACGGCTTCAATTCGCCGCCACTCACTCTTGACATGGTTCAAATGCAAGCAGAGGGTACTCAAGGCAGATACAATACAATGTAGTAATGCAACTTTGATTGTCACAGTTCCTCTCCTGGGTTTTCTTTGCGCTACAGTTATTATCATCATTTTTTTTTAAGTATCCACATGTTCTCAAGTCAACTTTTGAGTATGGAATCAAGCTTCTCTAATTCAATCAGATTAAGGCAAATCAAACACAATTAAACTAATATATTTATAAAATCATAACTACCGAAGCAAATCTATTTATTATCTGAACCGATATTTTAAAGATGCATTGCCATTATTATCTATTATTAAAGTTTTAAGTTTAAGTTTGCCAACTTATTTCTTTTTTATTATCCAATTGATTTAGTTAATAAAAAACCCATTAAGCATTTCTCTGAGCAATAAAAAATAATTTCATCTTGTTCTAAAAAAATGATTCTATACAATTAATAGTGAATAGTTATAAAGTACACTGATTTGTTAGTTACAATTCCATTTCAATTTGCTACAATTTATGAATTTAAGATCCCAATTTAGAATGTCAACTTTTTTGATGCCACGTGTATGTAAAATAATAAACATATTTTATTTTTTGATGAATAGACTGACTGAAGCTGTTATTTTCTAAACAAATTTATTATCCAATCACATTTAATTTTAATTTTTTTTTAAATCTATTAACATTGTGTTTCTAGTGCTGCATAAATAAAGAATTTTTTTCATTAAAAAAAAAACTTCAGAACTAATAAGTAAAAAACAGATCCTTTTGCAGAGCTTACAAAATGTTAAAAAAAAAAAAAAAAAAAGCGTAAAATATAGACGCTTAAATGATATCAGGTTGGTCTAAATCCTCTGTTCTATCAAAATCCATACTTTGAAGAAAGAGGAATTTGAAAGAGACTTAGCACTGCTTCTTAGCCACATTTCACTTGTTCTTTTACTCTTGTCCACTGCAAATCAAATTAAGGTGCAGTTTGATAATATATATATATAGTAATAAAAATATTAACAAAAATTGTATTCTTATTATGTACATGTTTCAGATTGAAAAAATAAAGTGAGAATGAAAATAAAAAATAAAAATAAAAATTAGACATAGTTTCATTATTGGAAAGAGATATAAAAAAAACACAAAATTACTACAAGAAAACTAGTAGTTTGCAACGGTTTTTTAATGATGGTATTTAAATCGATCGCTAAAATCATGAATTAGGGATGGTTAGCTATTTTTTTGTCATATGTTAGTTTTTAGTGATGATTTACAAACCATCGCAGAATAGTTACAATTATATGATTTTTAGTGATAGTTTAGTATGATTGGTTTTAACTAAATCGTCACTATTTTTTTTTAAAAAAAGGGTTTTTAACGATGGTTTTTTGTAAACCATCGCTAAAAGCACTCTTTTTCGGGTGAATTTAGCGATGGTTTTTAACAAACCATCGCTATAATCCTTAAGCTACAAAACATTAAATAATAGGATTTTAGCAAAGATTTTTTTTTTTTTTGAAAACCATCGCTAAACATCGATATTAGCGATGGTTTTGCTAAAATCGTTGCTAATTTGTTACCGTTGAAGGAAACGAAAGTTTTGAATGAAAACTAAGTTTAAGCGATGGACCAAAACCGTTGCAAAAACTTTAAATCCCTAAATAGCTACCGCTCAAAAAAAATTTCATTTCTTCTCTTCTTCTTTTCCAGCATCCGAATCTTCCCCATTTCCCCTCCATTCATGCCAAAAACTCCCTCCAAACTCCCCTTCGCTCTTCTTTTCTTCTTTCCCTCTATCTCTTCCTTTTTCCTCCTCCATTTTCTTCTTCTTTCTCTCCTTCCGTCCCCCCTCCCCCTTTCCTTCCCTCCTCTTCTTTGTGAATAGTGCAGCAATAGCTCTTCTTCACCGTGAGTTGGCAGCAGCTTTTCTTACTCTCCTCCCCCATTTGTGTTATTGGTAACTCTGATTTTTTTTTTCATTTATTCAAATTATTTGATATTTATTTTTTTATCATTTTTTTATTAATTTTTAGTTAGTTTAATTTTTTGTGTTGTTAAACTTAATTTGTTACTTGTTAATTAAATTAATTATTTGTTAAAAATTAATTATGTGTTAATTTATTTAATTATTTTTTAATTAATTTATTTAGTTTTAAAAAAAATTAATTTAATTTATTGGTAATTAAATACTTCAATCGCTTTTAAAAATTTAATAGGTGTTACTTTAATTAATTAAGTGATTTATTTATTAATCAAAAAAATTAAATTTGTGGTTAATTAAATTATTTAATTGTTTTTAAAAAATTATTTATTTGATAGTTTAATTAAATATGTGTCAATTAAGTTCTTTAGTTGTTAAAATAAGTTAATTAGTTGCTAATTAAATTAATTAAATTTTATTTAAAATATTTAATTTCATTTTATTTTAATCAATTTGGTATTTAATCAAGTTTTTTAGTTGTTAAAATAAGTAAATTAGTTTTTAATTAATTTAATTAAATTTAGTTTAAAATATTTAATTATGTGTGTTAGTTTAATCAATTTGGTATTTAATTACTTTTTTTATTTGTTAAAATAAGTAATTTAGTTGTTAATTAAATTAATTAAATTTTATTTAAAATATTTAATTACGTGTTAGTTTAATCAATTTGGTAGTTAATTAACTTTTTTAGTTGTTAATTAAATTTTATTTAAAATATTTAATTATGTATTAGTTTAATCAATTTGGTATTTAATTAAGCTTTTTAGTTATTAAAATAAGTAAATTAGTTGTTAATTAATTCAAATAAATTTAGTTTAAAATATTTAATTATGTGTTTGTTTAATCAATTTGGTATTTAATTAAGTTTTTTAGTTGTTAAAATAAGAAAATTAGTTGTTAATTAAATTAATTAAATTTTTTTAAAAATATTTAATTACATTTTAGTTTAATTAATTTGGTATTTCATTAAGTTTGTTAGTTATTAAAATAAGTAAATTAGTTGTTAATTAATTTTTCTTAAAATATTTAATTACATGCTAGTTTAATTAATTTGGTATTTCATTAAGTTTTTAGTTGTTAAAATAATTAAATTAGTTGCTAATTAAATTAATTTCATTTTATTTAAAATATTTAATTACGTGTTAGTTTAATTGATTTGGCGATTAATTAAGTTTTTTAGTCGTTAAGATAAGTAAATTAGTTAAAATAATTATGAATTCGGATTGTTCATGAATCGATTATAGAGATACCGATAGTCTTTCGTAGATGGAATAAATAAATTTATTAATTTTGTCGTTAGTCATCTTGAGTTTATGGATGAAAATAAAATAAGATGTCCTTGTAAACTCAAAAAGTATTAGAACCGTAGCTACGAAGGTTCCGATACAATTAAGTATTATTTGATGAGATTTGGTTTTGTTTATGGGTATTATGTGTGGAGACATTATGGAGAAAGTGAGTCGATGGTTTATGGTGATAACTTGAGAAATTTTGTTAAAACTCAACAAATATTTGATGAAACTCTAGCCAATCCATATCACACAATGGTGATGGATGTTGTCGGTCTATCATTTATTCCATCTAACACCAATGAAGTCCCAAATCCCGATGTCTAAGCATTTTATGATTTATTAAATGCATCCAATAAAGAGATCTAGTCATGTTCGGAAAATCACTCATAGTTATCCGCATTAGCACATTTGTTACACTTGAAGTCCGAATATTATTTTTTAGAGTGGTATTACAACGACTTATGTCAACTTATGAAAGACTTGATGCCTATTGATAATTGTATGCCAAATGAACATATATCTCATAGAATATATGGGATGCATAAAAAAAAATGGGCAAAACTTGAGTCTCGTGTTTGATCAAAATAGGTAGCTCAAACTGCTCGAGCAAGACCAAGTGGCATCGGTGCTAGCCTATTTAGACATACGAGGGGTTTGATCACCCAAAGAGAGCATGCAATACGCATAATAAATCCTATTATATATACATATTTATAAATAATTTATTATTTATAATTATTACAATATCAATATACATTTAAGCATATTTGTTTTAGCGTAACGAGTTGGGTCGTGAACTCGATACTCATGAGGTGTTCTTGAAAACGTATGGGAAGAAGGTTGATGATAAGTACGTATTCATCGATCAGCGGGTGAAAAATCTTAAGATAAGTAATTTATAAGATTATTTCATACGTATTTCACTTTTATATAATTTCTTGAGATTACTACTTAATATTTAAAATTTGTGTAATTGTGTAAGACATCATTGATAAATACTTGAGGAAGAGGTTGCTAGCGGGGAGATGGAGGGTACTTCATCACCTAACATCGACATGAATGAGATATTTAAAAAGGTTGTTGAAGGAGGATACGATAAGAGAAAGATAATGTACGGACTCGAGAGGAAGAGACGATAAGAAAAAGATGATATACGAACTCGAATCACAAGCCTCTTATTATTTCTCTAATATCGGTTCATCCTCTTAGTTTGACCACATTGAGGGTCCATATCAATGAGTAGCTTCTAAAGAAAATGGAGGCCAAAAATATTAGACATGAAGAGGAGATTAAGGACCTTACGGGTATTGTTACATCTCTCTTAGAAAGTCAAAAACAATTGAAGCGAGTATGCAATGATGCGACGAAATGTTACTAAATATGTAAAAAGGTAATTCACTAACCAATCCTCCAGTTGACCATCAAGTGTCGGATGAAATGTTGATTTGTCATGGCATGTATCTCCTTTATCATAATATATATATTTTTATCACCCTTAAGCTTTTATTTTCGGGAATATTAGTACATTTTAATATAATTTGGTATTTAAATATATATTTGATTGGATTGAAATTTATATATTATAAAAGACTTTCTATTATTTATAAATCAATTTTATATCGTTATTTTAATTGTTAAATTAGATTGGATTTTATATTTCTTATTAGTGACATGTGAACAACGAAATAATTAGCTAATTTTTTTTTAAAAAAATAAAAATAAATAAAATAAAATAATTTAGCAACGGTTTAAAATCATCGCTAAATCTATCACTAAATTTGACCATAATTAGCGATTTTTAAACAATCACAAATTTAGCAATAGATTGTCAACGGATTATAAAAATCGTCGTTAAATTCGTAACATTTTCCAATTATTTAACAATGATTTTTTTTGGTATTAGTGATTGTTTATCCGTCACTAATTTAGCGACGAATTAACAAAAATCATCGTTAATTATTTAGCGATAAGGTTTTTTACAATGATTTTTAACGGTTGCAAAACCGTCACTAACTTAATTTAGCAACAATCTAAACCATCGCTAAATGATTTTTTTTCCCTTCAAAACAATGTTATATTATTTTTATTTATTATGTAACGATTATTTTTACCACTACCACTCCAAGCGATGAAAAAAAATTAAAAAAAAGTATTATTACCGTGATTCTACTACCAATCTTTTTCAACTCGCCACTTCTATGATAGTCGTACTATTTTTTAATCCATTACTGCTATTACTATATTAATAGTCCACTATTATTACAACTACCACTTCATCTTCTTCTTCTATCATTATCATCAACTGCAATACCATTTATCATAATTGATGAAATTATTTTTTTAATTTATTTTAAAATTTAAAATTTTATTTTGATTTTTTTATTAATATTCTAAAAGAATTATTGTAACAAAAATATGATTCTAATTTTTTTTTAATTTTAATAGCCTTAGATGATGATGTGAAAATCCAAATTCATATCCAACCACATGAAGAATTCTAAAAGGGAGATAATTCTCCTACCCAGTGAATGAAAGATGCCTTTTTTTTTCCCCTACGATTTAAAGGTATATGGAGATTAATTTATGTATCAATGGAAACTATATCTTATTTTCAAACAATCTTAAGAATATTTTATTTACATTATTTTGATATATTTAAGAAATCAAAAGAGGAAGTAATCCAAGAATTTTAGGACAATGTATGCCTTGGGGTTGCTAATGGATGATGTTGCGTGCATTTTTTTAAGCTTGATGACACATGATGATAGAAACGGTCAAGCCCCATTAGATGTTCACCATGTGTGAATGTTAAAATAATAGGATGGCTTAGGTAATGAAATAATTTTGAGAATTGTATGGGCCACACTTGTTAGAATATGATTAGGTGTTGTTGATGATATCATAGCAGTTTGTTCAAAGAGATCCCCACGTATGGCCCCCACGGTTGATAAATGGAGGTGGTCATGATTAGCAGTGAAGAAAACGGAGCCAATCACCACCGCTTAATCATATTTCAAGCTTAAGGATGTGATTGGAAGCACATTTTATGTCCCAAGTGACAAGTGATCAAATAGCATTTGCATGTGAATGGTTAAGGCCCAAGGGACCCGTTTGGTAGAGATTTTCATATCTTTATATATATATATATATATTCTAATTGTCATACTTTAACTCATACTAATTGATCAGCGAGCAGTCCATTGTTGAAGTACTACGTACTGCAATGCATATATTTTGATGGCAATCTCCATTGTAGGAGCAGGATTCGAAGCTAGCTTGTTTTAATTACTTTTGTTCCGTAGTTAAGGGAAATTTGGTTGGGTTAAAAAGTAGTAATTAGTCCCTTCCCAGAACTTATAATTAGAAAAAAAAAAAAAAAAAAAAAAAAACGACAATAAGGTTTAGATAGGTTCGGATTTTCCGACTTTAATGTACGAACATGATGCATGGTGCTTTCTACAGGTGGACGTTAAAGTTTTAGGAAATGTGATGCTGATGCATACTTCCAAGTAGGATTCAGTTAATTGTGTATTCATAATTATGTCTTTGTATTGCGAACTCCCAATTTTGACTAGTAACCTTTAACTAATTAACCTATTTCATAGACTACATTCTCTAATTTCATTTGCTTTGTAGACATATATAATTATACACCCACTCAGTACTGATATTGGAAAGTATCAAACTATATTATTTTTGAATAAAAACATAAGGCTGTGATATATATATATATATATATATATATATACACACACGCAAAAACTCATAGATGGATTCAACTAGCGGATCCTGATTACATAGATACAATAGGAATCGCGAAATAATTGGTATGATTATTATTTGAAAAACTCATCCAAAATGAGAAAAAAATAAATAAAAAAACCTCAATACAATAAACATTGAATCGAAGGTTAGTATGTGATATATTCCTAGCCTTGGGATTAGTTACAATAAGCATCTTTCTTGGCTTTACCCAAAAATGAACCGGGCCACACTCTCAAATGGTAGCAATTAATCGTCAAGGTGCCTCTGACGGGGATGCAAAAATGTCTGTTTGGTGCAGTGTAGTCACTTTTCAAGCAATTAGATCGTTGAAGATGACTTTCATGTGTTGTCTTTCAGGTTCATTATATTTTGAATATATTTATTATTATTATTATTATTATTATTATTATTCTACTTAGATATAAATGGAAACCTTTTTTTTATCAAATTAATTATGACCACTAGCATACATTTCCGAAATATAAGGGAAATAAAACAGATAAAAAGAAAAGATGCGGAGATCAAACCACAACCGATGCTAATTGAAATTAATTTTTTTTTAACTATCAATTGGTTATCAAAAATATAGGTTTAGAATAAAAATATAAGAATTAAAATGACATTATTATTATAATATTGTATTTGAAATAATAAGAAGGAATAAAGAAAATGTATATATATAAGGTTTTTGAGAATCGATGATGGGTTGGCAAACTGATCAAAATGTAAAGAATTAATATTATGATTTATAAAAATAATAGTTATAAATAACTAAATAGAATGAATATAAATAGTGAAAGATATAAAAAAAGAACAAATATTGTTAGTAAAATGCAAATCAAATCACAAGCAGATGAGTGATCGAAATCCAAATCTAAATTGAAAGAGTTTTAACATAAATATACAAAAATTGGTCAAGAATTAAATCTTTACGAGGGCAACTAAAAAAGACAAAATGAATGCCGTAGAGAGCCTCATGCATGGCCGAGAATATATGTTGATGTGTTCGTATTTGATATTTCTAGCTAGATATGGTTTTGGTAGGATGTTAATGACATATGGCTGTTCATCCACGTTAAGCATCCATTTCATGTCTTCGATGGATTTTGTGGCTGTACCATCTTCTTGCTAACGAGCCATTTGGTGTCTGATTTGTGAGTTGCTACCGAAATTCACTCGGTGATCTAATAGTCATAGCCTTCTAGGCTACTACTAAATATTAATAAATAAATAAATAAGAATTCGACCTCTCATAACTGCGTGGATCTTGAGTCATTTAATTAATTGCTCCATGTACAATTATGTACACCTTTTGTTTTGTTTGATACTAAAGATATCTTCCAACGACCAAACAAACCAATTTGCTTATTAATTTAAATTAAGTTTCTTTGATCTCGTGTTTTCATAATAATTATTTAAGATTTTTTTTTATATTGATTCCAAGATTTAAACATAGAAAAAAAACTTAATCACTAAATTAATCCTTTAAACTTACATTTTTGGACTATGATAATGGAGTTATTAGAGCTTGGTAGCAGCAATTAAAGTGACGTAAGTTTTTGTGATCATTAACACTCTCCCCGATGAGCATTTATATGTATTTTGATCCCAAAACAGCTTGCCTTGTTTTTCATTTCCAGTAATGCTATAATTAAGTTTGCTTAAAAATCTTTTCCAAATAGTACTGTTTAAAAAGTCATTACTATTGCACGTACAAATTTAACCTATCGTGGTTTATTTAATAAAAATTTTCAATAAAATAAGTCCAAGTCTTTAACTCAAGTTTTTTCTATAATTATATAATAAAAAAAGAGTAAATAAATAAATAGATCGAACCTATTTATTTTATGGAAGACAGTTTTTAGGAAGTAGTATTAGAAAAATTGTTGGATTGATTTTTTTTTTTAATTGATCAACACGGTGAGAGATATTTTAGTTAAGATTGGTTTTTACATTAATCAAAATTAATTTTTTAAAATAATTATAAAAAATCATCTCACATCGTTTTAATAAATTTATAAAAATTTAATAAATTTTCATATAGATTGGTATCATAATATTTTCTCTTCACTTTAATTATAATTTCTATTCCGACCTTATTAATTATATTCTGACAAAGCATGTTGAGACTGCATGTAATCTTATAGAATTCTTATAGCGAGAAAGTATTAGTTTGTATGCTCTTTTCTTACCTTTATATATTATTTATCAAAAGAATAGCAACAATACAAATTAAAATCAACCCCAAAGATCAATATGTTCTTTCTTGTATACCTAAGTTTAAGGAAGAAAAATGTTAAACACACACAACGAAGTTGACAGAAATCTGCTGATAAAAAAAAGCGAGAAAAAATCCGAGTCTCTCCATCTCCCTTGGTCAACAAAGAGAGTCACCATGTTTTATTAATTAATTACATTACATATATATATATATGTATTTGTGCATTACCCGCCCACATGTTTCATAATTTTATATCTACAAAAATGTTATAAATTATTCATATTTGCAAAGACAAATATTCCCCACTTAGAATAAGGAAAAATTAAATTGATGATGTAGAGATATTATGATATCTATTATTAATTAGACCCCATCACATTTCACTCACACACGCACACACGCTCTCCCTCTTTCTTATACGTACGCACAGAACCCATAAAGCGACAAGATACAAAGAATTTTCACACAAAACCATTCCAGACATTCCTCTTCCTTTTTTTTTTTTTTTTTTAAAGCCAGTTTCAAGTAAAGGGTGTCTCTTTTTTCTTCATTCTTTGAAGCTCTAGCCAGCCAGCTATTTCTCAACATCCTCATCTTCGGTTTCATCCATGGATACTGCTCAGTGGCCACAGGTATACAGATAGATCTATGACCGTATCACTTTGGCTAGCTCTTGATCTCTTTCAGACTTTTGGACATGAATTGTATGGCTTTTCTTGTTTGTTGGCTTCTGTTAGCTTTTGCAAAAGAGTGATGGTGTGTGTTCATGGCTAGCAAGTGCAAGTCCCCACTCTTTTGGATTTAGTTTTTATCAGTTCTTTAATTCTTTCACCATATGTTACCACTTTATTTGGCTTTCTCTTTTGCTTATGAGATAGAAGAAAAGAAAAAAGAAGAGAGAGTATCGCTATATATTTTTTTGCTTTTCCTTTTTGATCGTGGCCTGATATAATGTTGAAAAGTGTAAAGTTGCTAAATTGTTTTATTTGTTTGTTTGTCTTCAGTTCTTAATTTGATCTTCAAGTAGTGGTGTTTCTTTTCTTGTTTTTGTGCTTTATAGGAGATAGTGGTGAAACCTATAGACGAGATAGTTACAAATTCATGTCCGAAGCCTCCTGCTTTGGAGAGGAAGGCAAGGCCTCAAAAAGAACAAGCCCTCAACTGTCCAAGGTGCAATTCAACTAACACCAAGTTCTGTTACTATAACAACTACAGTCTTACGCAGCCTAGGTACTTTTGTAAGACTTGTAGAAGGTACTGGACAGAAGGTGGTTCTCTAAGAAACATTCCTGTCGGTGGAGGTTCAAGAAAGAACAAGAGATCATCAGCTTCTTCTTCTTCATCTTCTTCAAAGAAACTTCCTGATCTGATTACACCACCAAGTTTGTCACAAACTTCTACTCAAAACCCTAAGATCCACGAAGGCCAAGATCTAAACCTAGCTTTCCCATCCACACAAGGTATTAGAAGTTTCTCTGAATTGATTCAATTACCAAGCATGAATGAAAACAACAACAAGAACCCAATATCTTCCTCTACTTCTGCATCCATTACTACATCCCAACTTTCAGCTTTGGAGCTGTTAACTGGAATCTCTTCAAAGGGTTTGAATTCTTTTCCTATGCCAGTTCATCAAGATCCAAGCACACTTTACACATCAGGTTTTCCTCTTCAAGATTTCAAGCCAACCTTGAATTTCTCTCTGGATGGGCTTGGAAGTGGTTATGGGAGTCTCCAAGGGGTTCAAGAAACTAGCGGAAGACTTTTGTTTCCATTTGAAGATTTAAAGCAAGTTTCAAGCACAGCTGATATTGAGCAAAATAAAGAGCATGGTGATTCTACAGGATATTGGACTGGAATGTTAGGTGGAGGATCATGGTAAATTAGATGAAGAAAATAATTGGGGTTTTATTTTTCTTATTTGGATTTTTTTTTTTTTTAATTTTATCATAAGTTCCTAAGGTGGGTGACTTGGTTTGCATTTCTTCATTACTAACAGATAGGATACATGGGTGTCTTACTCTCTCTATTGGTTGTTATTTTACTTTCAATTGTCTTCTTTACTCTTTAAACTTGTGGGAATTTGAAGCTCTTTTAGATTGGCTTCATTACGGCTGAAGTACTGGTGGGATTCTGTGAAAGGATAGAAGAAAGGATCGAGCTAAGCTAAGCCCAGAATTTTTTTTTTCCTTTTTTTAGGGTAACAAGTAGAAGAGGGCATGCACTGCGCCCTTTTACTTCATGTTATGTCTTCGATCATTTGAAGGAAAAAGCTAGCAAAAAAAGGCCACCTACTATATATTATGGGTCACTGGTTGGCATGGTACAACAAATAATGTATAATGTGAAAATATGTATGGAGTTTTATGAATTAAAGGCTTTTTTCGTTAGTTTCTTTCATTGTAGCAGGAACGATATTGTGGATATTATTATTAAAACCTCAGTTGGATTCCAATGGTGGCATTCAATTTTCTGCTTCCATCTCTCTCTACCTTTATAAATATTTGTAAGCAGGTTTTGAGTTAATGGTCTCGTCAAGACTGAGATTCTGGCAGAAATTAAGCATAACTTCAGGAAGAAAAGTCGGAGTTAAGAGAAGATGGAGCCAGGTGGGAATTCTGATCCTTCAAAGTGTAAATGCTATAAAGAACACTTCCATAACGCAAATCATAGTTGTGTTAATCAGAGTAACTAAACCTGCCTCAACTGAAAAGCCTCACCTACTGAGAATTCTATATATCCAAACAGTTTTCCGGAGACTCTTCCACACTTCTACAGCTGCCTTATTTCCACATGAATGATCATTGCTTCCATGCTACCTCTCCTTCTCTTTTTTAATAGAAAGATTGAGAAAGATCTGACAAACCCTCATTTCTTTGGTCTTGTTGTTGGGACCCACAAACATTCTCCTAGGCAAGTGTGCAAGAGAATAATAATACATCCCACTAAAAAAGTCTGATGATCTATCTAGATCTAGACCCTTTTAATTATTTATAAAATTAGTTTATTTTTGTTTCTTTGCTGTAAGGCACTTGGTGTACATAATAACATGGCAAAAATGTTAGATGCACCACCCGGTAATATGGGGGGTGTTTTTCCAGCCAAATTTAGAGATCTAGCTAGTTTATGCGACATGACCCATTAATCCTACCTTTACTTTTTTTCTATGGGCTGGTTGGCAACCAGAACCTCCAGCCACTATTAGGTTCAACCTGACAAAGCCATTTTCCTTGAATACCGAGAATAGATCAAATTTTCAAATGTTTCCTCAGCAAGGTAGATGTTTTTGGGAAAGGATTGGTTAAAAAGGAATGGGAAAATAAGGCAACACTTGCAATATATGATTGTTGAACTTGCTCCTTTGCTTTTATTTTATCTCCCACTATAACTTTGAATCACCTGGCCAGTTTTTCAAGTACTCGGATCGACTCCCCCTCCTCATATTCTAAGCAAGAAATCATTTATTTATTATTGCACCAAAAGCAGAATCGAAAGAATGAGCTTTTACCATTTTATTCCATACGAGATTTTTGGTATCGTTGAGCTAATCTAGGGACATGTACGTGTTGTTGAACCAAAAAATCTTACTGGTGGAATGTTTTCTAATAGGTCTTTTCTAACGTTAGTTGTTTTCATGGAAGCAGCATGAGAATTTATCTCATAAAAAAATTGATCACCCAAATAGCCAACATTTCATGGATATATATATTTTGAATTATACCTTTATTGAATAGATTGCTTTTTCTACAAGGCATTTCACAAATGAGATGGATCAAGTCAATATCAAATTTCAAAGAATTCGACTTTGTACCCTTTCACTAGTTTGAAACTTTGTATGTAGTATTGCTTCCCCTTTAATTTGTTTTTTTTTTTTTTTTTTTCATGCACTTCACATCTAAAGAATGAATGTTGCAGATATTAATGCACAATTTGGGTAAAAGAAAGTGAGTGGTGAGTCATGATCCATGCTAAATATAAATGCACCAACTACTTTGGACTATGTTTTTGAGTGCTAAAAACAACATTAATAAACGAGGTTTTTATGTGTAAGGTGGTTCTAATTTCCAAGCTAAGTTAATGAGGCATTGCCAAATATGGCATTCCCTCTAGGATTCTTTTGGAAGTGGCAGTTAAGCTAACCTCATGTCCTTAAGGCCACATTACTTCATCTCACCAATTTTATGAGGTTTTGGCATGTGACTTGTCATGCGAGTGGATCTGAGTGGTCAGTGCCAAATTTATGGCTCAAATGGACAGGGCATTTTTCGCTTGCTGTTAAATAGAGAAGGGCACTTGGGTACTGCCATTAACAATATTCCAATACCTACTTGGGCCCCTTGAGTCTTCCCTAATGACGAATAATCAGCAACTTGCACATCTTTGCCAGGGCAGGGGATATGGTTGCCACATCTTTGCCTCTTCAAATAAGTTGCAGAATTTTGCAGCATGATGCTCAAACTTGGCTAATTAGTTTAAACCATTAAATTTTTAGCTTCACTCTGAATATGAGCAGTTGTGCCCATCAATCTCCCTAGATCTGCATGGGATGTATTTATTACCTTTTTCTCTTATTATGAGTTTAAAAAATTCAAGCCAGAATCAAGTTTTGATTAGCTGTGACCGGTTGAACCTGCTGTAAGGGAACCAAAAAAAAAAGACACTCTGCTCAGTTAAGCTTGAAAATCCAGCAGATAATCAACTCGAAGATCAATGTTCAGCTTCCCTTACATCCCTCTTCCGCAGTATTTATTAAATGACTTAAGACTGAGTAACCATACAGGGGAAACAGTATGAAGAAGATTTTCTAGCTTCTAGCAAGCATACATAAAACACATAAAAAAGAAAAAGAAAATTCCACCAAGATAAGCTGGTACAAAGTGGAAATGTGTTGTACACTTTTCTACCAGCACGTAACCTAGTGATGTATACATATTCACTCCATTAAAAAAGAAATAATAATTACCCTTCCAGTTTCAGCATCTGTACAGGGATATAAAGGTTACACTGGAATGCAAAAAAGGTCAATTCTAATGACTGGAGTAAACCAAGCATGAATGAATTCCTCTGCAGTTCAATGATCAGCGTTGATTCCAAATATGCGAACCTTGTGCATGTTTGGGAACTTAGCAACAACCAGCACAAATACAGCCAACGTGTTGAAGAAGAGCATTGGATTTTGATAGTCTGTTGTATGCGAGGCTATCAAATACCTGCCAAATGAAATGTAGGCTAAGCAAAATACAATTATTTGGAAAAGAGAGACCTTAAATGTTTAAGCAGGCAATGGTTAACCTTCAGTCAGTTTATGTACACCGTGTTAATTGCATGTGTTCTACCATACATCATGATGGTTATCAAAGAGACAATCTTACAATTCCACCTTTGGAACTATGGAAACGGACAAAAATTAATAAGAATTAGACTTTTCTTAGAAGAAACAATCCCTTTTTCAAAAGCCTAAAAAGGGACCAGCTAATCATGAGAAAGCAAAGAACTGTCCAGCGACAAAGATAAATCATCTTTTGTGGGAAATCATAGCATATCATTCCTAAGAGCCTTCTTGGAGACGTTTTGCCAAGAAAATCAAGTCAAATTGCCAAAGACAGGCCAATGATCCAGAAGGCAAGAATCCAACCCCATATCAAAAGACTTCAGTTCAACTCAAGTAGAGGATTATGCGGTTGAAACTGATACTTATCGAGTGAAAAAAATACCACAGTAGGAGCTGTTTTTCCAACAATATGATTTACCCTCCTGCTGTCATACCACCTTTACAGAGTCCTTCCTATCCCAGGACTCACACAAAGCACAAATCAAAACTGTGGTGCTGAACAAAACTTCATCCTCCACCTCCCCAAAAGATATGCCAGAAGAGAGATAAAGTGAGAGAAGAATTACAGGCTAGGTTGTAAAGAAAAGGTTTCTGTAAGGGCACACGTCTTCATTTTTTACTGTTTGCATTCATTGCAATGCTTGATCAAATCTATATGGTAATCTAGCCCAAACTACCCAAAGCAGGAGGAATAAAATAAACAAAATGGAAAGAAAAAAATCCAACCTCTGGCTCTCATGCCTGAGTGGTATCACCCCAGAAAGGAGAGTCTCCATATGCTAATGTTATTGGGACAAAAGAATTCCAGAAATTAATGAATGGTGACTTGAAAAACAGATCCCTATATCCATGATCTAAGACGCATTAACTTAACATAGACATAAACTACTCAACAATTACAAACTGAATGCCCAATAATTTAAACTACTCAACAGAATAAGATACAAATCCCTTACCATACCTCACCAATCTATGAGGCAACTGTACAAAGGTGTTAAAGAGTAAACATGTTCCACATTTTTCAGTTATATGTCCAATCAAAATGCTTATATGATGAACAACAAATTAACAAAGTACTTACAGCACTACAGGTACAACGGTCAGAAACTTCCTGTTGCGTGTGAGTTGCTTGCCATTTTCTATTTGCTCCCACCAAGTCAATCCATTGTAGATACCCTGGTCATCAGCAAATGGAGTTCCCTTCTTCCAGTGAAAAAAGTGATATGTAACCTGAAGTAGGAAGAAAAGTTATTTGCAAGATACATGACTAGGTGAAAAATTTAACAGCATGGAGATTAAAGAATGCAAAGGGAAGATAGTAGCATATCAATTTCTTCTACATCTAAATGGTTTGGACAGGACAAACCGTTTTAATATTGCTACCAATCTCTTGCAGGACATTAGATTTTCTTTCCAAAAGGCAAAGCAAATATCTCAAGTTGCATGAAACAAGACCAAAATTTACACCATAGCTCAAAAGTTGGTTGATACCATTGTTGAAGGAACCATGTAAAATGCACAGAATGGATTTTGTGCAAAAGACTGTCGAAAGGTATTATTTTACCTATCTGCAACACTTGATTTGGGCAGAAAAAGAGCCAAAAAACAACAGTAGACAACTCCTGATCACTATGTTGGTTATTTAGATCCCTAGCTAATTAACATTCATCAAACATAAGAAGAAGCAAATGCAAATACAAATCCTCCCACAGAATGATCAGGCCATGGGATCAATGCATCCCGCTGAAGCTATAACAAGCACATATAGCATCTTTCTAAACCTTTGTTTAATTAACAGTTAATTGAACGAAAGAGATACAAACACAAAATTACCCCCCCCCCCCCCCCACACACACACACACACACACACACAACATGCACACATGCAGGGCAATATATTTCATTGCTTAGCCTCAATTGCTTGTCTAAGGTGTGAGAAAATGGAAATCTTTCAGAACGATCTTAGAAAGTTAAATCTGAAGCATATGCAAAGATAAGATCATAAGATATATAGTTCATGACCTCCACGTTAAAGGAACCTATTTGATTCTCTAAAAATCTCAACATTCAGAAACAGGAATTTGAGCTGATGCTTAATAATATCGAAAAAATTAGTCCCTTAAAGTCACAAGCTAGCTTTCTCGGTCAAAAACATAAAATCTCGAATCTGTCCTTTTGCACTAAAATTGTCAGAAACATCCTCAACCAAGTAGCGAAAAGTGCTTTGCATGATGTGCATCTAGCTTAACTCTAGAATAATATCCATTCACAAGTTCCACCAAGTAGTAGGCAATACAAAGTCACCATTTATTTCCTTTATGTTTGCTTTCAGGTTTAATCTATTGAACTTAACAAAGCAAATCGAAATTAAGACTTTACTTCAATAATTTTTTTGAGGCTCTTCTACAAAGCAATCTTAAACTATTCCACGGCGAACCCTAACAAGACACAATTTGTCCCTAATCCCAAACCACACGATCCCTAACCCTTTAACCAATAAATTCTCACAGTCTCGACACCACAAACGCACATTGCAATCTTATTGGGAAAAAAAAAAAGCATCAAAGAACAAAACTTCAAATCAAAACCATCTAAATCCAACATAAAACAGATCAAAACCAAAAAGGGCATGGCAACAAAAAATCTCATCAAATCAATAAAGAATAAAAGGTTCCATCAAACAAATCAAACCCAATTGAGGAAAGGCACTATCTATGTAAGAGAGCAAATAAGAAAGAGTACTTACAACGAAATGACAAAGATGGACAATAGTCCAAGCCATCCCAGAAGAGCAACCAAAAATGGAAAGAACAAGAAGCCAAGACATGAAAACAATGAGCATATAAGTGGTCCAAACTCCTGGATATGTGAACCACTCCGTGTTCCTATTCACATCTGTCGTTGGCTCAGCTTTCACGTACATGTCTTTGGTTTACTTTGTTGTTGGGAAAAGATAGAGAATGAGGTTAACCAAGAGAATCAAGGAAACCCAGATGAGAGAAGATCAAGTATCGGTGACTCGGTCAAAAAAGATCAGATTTTGATGATGGATCTTCCTCTTTTTTGGTTCCAAGATTGTGACTTGAGAATTGGAGAGAGAAAGACGGTTAATTTTGGTGTGAATGGGCAGGGTTCGAATCCAAAGGAGTCTTCAAAACAGAGCTTAATTGAGAATAATATAGATGGGGAGGGAAGAGACAAGAGAATAGAAGAGGATGAGTTGGAGGATTGAGGAAGATAATTGCTTGTTACGGTCTGGATCCCATCGGATTAAACTTCTGATTAGGTTAACAATATCCTACTCTCAACTTTCACGCCTCAACACTAAATCCTTCCCCTCTAAATAAATAATCTTAAATATCAAGAAAATATTTATGATTTTAATAGATTGTTGAATTATAATTTTAATGTGGGATCTACTTATAGGTCTCCAACAATCTATATGTATTTTTGAAATTTATGATTATCTTTTTTTTTAATTTTTAACTTTACTTTTCAAAAAAAAAAAATCCCAAATAATGAAAGAAAACCAAATGTTGAAAATTGGATCTCCCTATTTAGTTCTTTTAAATTTGAAATTTAAAATAATTAAACTCTTTTAAACATCATTAGGTGATTTATTATATCTTAATTAAAACTAAACCAAAAGTTCAATACAATTAACCTCATATGGCAAAATATTGTCATGCACTACTATTTATGTTAGTTTAAGTCATAATTTGAGTAATCCTATTATCAGTCAAAATTAAGTCTTCCCTCGGTCGGATATATATATATATATATTCTGAAAATAAATCACAAAACAAAAAAAATTAAGGTTAAGAGTTGGTGATGCTTCATCATGTTCGAAATATATATATATATTTTTTTGGTCTTAATGATAGGGTAGGGTGTATTTGGGTTAGCCTTTCAACACCTAAACTGAGTTTTTTTTTTTTTTAATTAGATCTCACTGTTTATTTATTTTAAATTTGAAATTTAAAATAATTAAACTTGTGTAAACATCGTTAGATGATTTATTGTTATTTTAATTAAAATTAAACCAAATTTTAAGACAATTAACCTCACATGGCAAAATATTGTCATGCTTTTATTACCACGTTAACTTGAGTCACTCTATTATAATTCAAAACTAAGCCCTTCCTTGGTTGGATCTAAAATGCCCTACAACCACTAAAAGAAAAATCAATTTGAAATTCCTTATAATACTCTCAAAACACACACCCACAACAAATTGCAATAATCTATCAGTCACACCCAACTTGTTAATAATACTTGTGCGCAGAGACATCAAATGGTCGGTAGGCTGGTATTGACGTATGGTGTTGATGTCTGCTATTTCAAACTTACAATTTCAAAGATCATATTTGAGAACTGCCTCTACCTAACATGATCGACTTAGAAGATTTTTCTCATCGATTTGGTAGGAACAAGGATCAATTAAAACCATAATCTACAGACATAATGGTAATAAACAATCAACACAGGAGTTAAATAATGTATGTTGGAAGCATTACTTGAGGAGGTACCTGGATACTGCATCAGAATAAATCAAGATATCAAAAAGACCTTGATTATGTCAGGAATACATAAATAGAATCATTACCACCTATTCAATTTTAAAAAAAAATGATGTTACAACAACATCAGATTGTTAAAGGCTGACAGTTTTGTTGCCGACCCTGTCTAAGCCCTCAACCAATCTTCTCTTTGCTGACTTGGTTCTGTAACACCAAACCTCAAAAGCTTCACTCAAGTCTGGATACCTAACCTGGTCAGCTTTCATCCAATCCGCCAGGACATCAGCTTGGTCGTCTGATGGCAAGGCCAGTACCAACGAGACAATTGCCCCTTCAATACTCTGGCACAAGTCTTCATCCATCTTGTGAGGAAAACTCGTGTCTTCCGTGCCTTTTGAATCTAAAAGAGGCTTCAGTTTCCTAATATAAGGAAGCCATGTCTTTAGCAGCTGCACCCGAATTGGAGCTGGAAGAATCACATTGCCATAACCAACTGCTTCTAAGGCCTTTCCACCCACTTCAATCAATTTTACTTTCAAACCCCACATGAGAGATTCAAGTTTCTTGTCTTCAAGGATCCCCAAAACATTGCCAGAGATCTCAGCCCAGTTTGATACAAAGTCCTTCATTAATTCCATCTTGGGAAGTATATTGCACATCCATTCGAGATCAGATACACACTGCAATATATTGCCCTCTGCTGCCTCAGATGTGAGGTCAGATTCCAAAAGTAGGGACGACAGTTGCTTTTCAAATGTAGAAAAGATTCTGAAAAGACCCACTCTCACAGCTGATTTTACTTCATCATCAGCAGTAACCAATGGCATGTCTTCATCTTCCCCTAACATGTATTCTACCTGTTCTTGAGCAGATATTTTAAGTTCATCACCAAATGGAGGACATGACCCACCAGTAGATGTCGCAAAGCGAACTGCTGAAACAAAAACATTTTTGGTAGCTGTTAAATCTACTGGTTTGATCCTGGAAACGATGGGCATGGCAATTGGACCTAGTTTGGAGACTGCTTTTATTATTTGTTCCTCTTCCTTATCATCCCAAGGAACAGCCTCTAAGTACTGGATGCAGTTCTTTGTGATCTCTTCACAGCTGAAAGCAACAGATACGTTGAGAACCCCGATAGCAGATCTAACAGAATCCAAGGAGTCCAATTGCAAGTCCACAGGGAGATATAGCAACCTCAAGAAGTTAACATGATGATCATAGTTAAACTCTGTGCAGTGAATCTCAACACATTTACTAGAGTCTGGACTGGAGAACCAATCTGCAAAGAACTTACTCTTGCTTACTAAGGTAGAGGAGTGGGAGTAAAAGACTTCAGGTCTTCCTTCACAATTTCTCAAGTGTAGAACAACATCACTTGTATTCTCATCTCCAAATCCACAAGGCTTGCCTATGCCAATTTTGTCCATGTATGAAGAGGAGGAATAAAAAATTCATACTTTGTGAAATTGAAAGAATAAACACCCAAATCGAGGGGACTGATGTGAACAAATTTGGAATTTGAGATATATGGCATACATTCCAGAAAAGCAGAACAAGTCTGAATCTATCAAACAAGCACTTGATCTGCAAAGAGAAAAAAATAAAAAAAAGAGATTGAAAAGAGAATATCAAAAGATTATGAATGAAAGATGATGTCTGCATATAAACACCACAAAGTCAACTCCATATCATGCTAATGCACACAATTGAGTGTGGACATGTATGTGTTTGCTTGATAGAGAAAGTAAGTCAAAGCACCAATACTTCCTTATATTAATAAAGTAAAGTTCATATTTTTTTTACTTACACTACGAACAAATTGTTGCCTTGAAGATGTCCTAGACTTGTGAAACCATTGCACATCCAAAAAAAGTAAAGAACTGTAGTGATAAAGAAGATTGTTGCAGGTAAACAAGGTCTCGGGCCTCATTCCAGGATTGCTTCCACCTATCAACAAATTCATTTATTCAAGTCATTTGGCCAAAATAAATCACTTTTTGCCCCATTTCTTGAAACAGCTGGAATTATACGCAGTTTCAAAGCACCAAGAGTGGAATCAAAGTACTTTAAGTTTTTCTAAATTGATGTATTGCTCCGCCATGCTTAAAGAATCGATTCTCTATACGCAGTTTATCGAATCTTGTGAAATTTTTTCTTCATTTGGTAATACAAAAAGAACAGAACTTGAAACAAACACTCAGCTCAATCTTATCTTATTCTCAATTCTTTAAAAAATCCCAAGAACATAGAATACATTTTAATGCTAAATCCACTTTCCTTTTCCTTCCTCCACTTTTCTTGGCAACCAAACAGAGACTAAAAGGCAATTCTTTAATTATGCAATAATCAGATTCAAAGCAACAATTTTTCCCAGAATGTCTAACAAAATGATGCCTCCTAGATACCAATAAATTATAACAATCATCATTTAATATATGCATAATCAAAATTAATTAAAGAAACCAATCAATAAAGAAAAAAAAACTAAAAGGGTGTGAATAAAAGAAAAACTTGTCTTGAAAAGAAGAAGATTTACCTTGAAAAAGACCCTGATTGCACCAGCTAGATTGATGGATCAATCTGTAACTGTATAGAACAAAATCTACTATTTATAGCTGATATGTTCGATGAGTTTGAACTGCAGAGAATATTATTACCTGTAGTTCTTTTTTAGGTTTTGGAGATTGTTGAACTCAAGCTTCCAGTCGTGGGAGATGAGAACTCCTAAGCCTGACATGAAAATGACTCTTCTGACCTCCTCCGATTATTGAAATAGTAAGTTTTAGCGCCGAGGGCAGTGCAAATTTTTTTACTTTTTCAAGGGTAGGAGTTTTTTGATAGAATAAAACTAGGGACGTTGCGTTGCCCTGTAAACGTAATGCGTGGCAAATGATTGGAAGAGACAAAGTGAGTTCGTGTTATCCTATGAATATGAGAATGTAAAAAGACACAATTAGTAAACACACTCCATTGTTTTTTCTTTTCCTTCTTGTTATCTTTTAACGATTTTTTTCCGTGTAATTGCTTAGAACAAGAAAAAAAATTTAACGAGTTAATCTCATGAACAAACATAAAATAAATAATCAAAAAGTTGTATTACATTACCACCACTCGTATCGTTAACAAATTCGTGAGGCATAGAATCACTCTTTTCTCAAAAAAAAAAAAAAGAGTTTTTTTAGAATAATTTTTGCGAATGAAGACTTTTTTTTTCTTCTTCTTTGAGTTTTAGGCAAGATATCCTTATTCGTATATTTATAGAGAGAGAGAGAAAAAAAGAGTGTAGCTTTTGGTTCCGTCGAACTTGAAATAATAACATAATTAATAAACCATTTATGGCTAGTTTTCAGTTTTTATCTTTTTGTTTTTTTTTAAAAAAAAATGATAATGATGAAAGTAC